AGATAGGAGTAGCTTTGTTTTTGTAGAAAGTGTAGGGGTGCGTTGCTCACCGAATATAGTTATGACCCCTGAGGCGGAGACTTTGAGTTGTGACTTTGGCTTTCCCTTCTTTGGTAGATGCTTCGTGAGCCGGAGAAGCTCCAACTGCTTCACATCTCGTTGGTGCGCGAATACTTAGCGCTGGATCTGTTGCCGGCGAAGATAGCCTACAGCCAAGAACAGATTGCATTTAGGAACCAGGATGCTGCTCACGGAGATTCTCTTTCACCTGGAGGCAGCGCCAGGTTAAATAGGCCAGGTGAAGCATCGCAGCAGTCGCCATTGGAGGGACGACCGAACCGGCGTGTGGATAAGATGCTCTGCTGCCCAGCCGAGACAGAGCGCGCTATCGACGACTTCGTCATCTTCTGTTTCTTGGCGGGCAATGACTTCCTGCCGCATACGTTTTCCACGGACATTGGGGAAAAAGGGCTTGATAGTATGATTCTCTGCTATGGGCGTTTCTTAGCCGTAGGTGTTCGCCTTCAGCTGCAGTTGTGTTCTTGCCCCATTAGCAGCTGGCTGTGCCGCCGTCTGTCTTAAAGTTCTATATCAACTGGGCCTTGCCATCGTTTAAGAGCTATCCAGCTGCTTCTGCATATTGCCTACTGTGCGTTTCTCCCGTGCTGCGCACTGTTGGTTCAGGAATACCGTGTACTGGCCGCATCCGTAACGAGCAAAACGCCGGCGGATGGCCCATGGCTTGTCGGGAGGTGTGGCCAGTTGAATCTCCTCAATTTATATATATTTCTCAAGCTATTTGTAGAAACTGTTGAAGACTATAAGGTTGCAGGCAAGGCCGCTGACTTGCAATGGCTCATGAGGAAGAAGCAGGAGGAGGTGTGCACTAGTCCATCAAGCATTCGCCTTTGCCAACTTCTCCTTACCGGAACTAATGTTCACCGCTGTTATAATGGGAAAGCTGAAAGCTGCCTATATTTCCACTTTTGCGGGATGTGCAGCTGCCGATGCTTAACAATTTTGGTGGGGACACGTGCAAAGCATTCCGTGCAAAGTTCTATATGCAAAAGCTAAACATCGTGCTTGGCACGGAAAGAGGCGAAAGGGAACTGCAGCACTTGTGCCAAAGTTATCTGGAAGGACTCCAGTGGGTACGCAGCAACATGGGCTGCCTGGCTTGTAGCTCAGGCAAAGCTGAACGGTCTCCAGCACTGCGACCATGCAAGCCTCTTCAGCTTCTCATGTTCTGTGTGTATACCAGGTTGCATACTACTACTTCCGAGGCCCGGACGCAAGTGGGTGGAGGTGGTTTTACTCTTACCACTACGCTCCCTTCTTGCGGGACGTGCTCGACTGCAACGTGTTCAGCCCGTCGATGGTTTCCAGAGGCGCAGGAGCAGGCAAACGCTGCGAGGACCTTTCGTATCTTTTAGACCGCACAATCGCATTGCCTAGCGGGGAGCCATATTCACCGTTCATGCAACTCTTGTCAATCTTGCCACCTCAGTGAGTAGGATGACTCTGCTGAAGAGACGAACTGCCCACTGCCGTATTCACCTCCCCTTCCGGCCAAACATCACCTGCAAAACTGCCGCTGAACTAGTCTGGTGACGCGCTCTCAGGTCGGCTGCATTACTACCTCCCCAGTTAAGCCACATCCTAACCCACCCTCCTCCAAGGCTTGCACGTTTCTTCCCGAAAGATTTCGAAATCGACATGGAGGGTGTGAAGGTATGTAGTTGCTCTATCGGGGTTGATAATTTCCACTCCGTAGATTGATGTGTTTGTGGGTATCTTCCAACTGGTGAACAAGCAACTCCAGGCCACCATAGTCGACGGAGTTCTAGAGTTTTACGTTTTCTGCTGCCTAGTTAAGTTGTAAGCAGCAGTGCCCATTGGGTGTCTCGGCTACCTTTCTGTTGCCGGGATGTTCTGCAGGTCCCGTGNTTGTAAGCAGCAGTGCCCATTGGGTGTCTCGGCTACCTTTCTGTTGCCGGGATGTTCTGCAGGTCCCGTGGGGGGGGGTGGCGCTGCTGCCATTCTTGGATGAGGCAGTGCTTGAGAGCGTTGTTTTGCCTTTGCTAGAGAAGCTTCCTCCTGAAGTGCTGAAGCGGAATGAAACTGGAAAGGTCGTGTTGCTTATGAGGGAGGGGAATGAGCAAATATGGAGACAGCATGGTCTGTTAATATACGACAGCGACTCGGGAACTTCCGCGTTGGCAACCCTAGACCCTGTCTACGAGCGTGAGTGCTTCTTCTTCAAAAACAAAATTATACATAAGGACCTCGGCGTCGCATTGGACATTCCGAGCCTGCTGAACCGTATAAACAGCTCTATTGAGGAGGAAGTACCCCAGGGACGTGAACAGCGGCAGGTTCGCATATTTCCGTCCTCTCTTCCTTGGGCTTTTCCTGACGTAGTAGACAGTTGCGTTGTTGAGGAGGAAGTCCTCGTCTTACCACCGCTCTTGGCTGCTCGTTTGGAGGTGAGCAAGGTTGTAGGCCTTCTAAAAATCCTTAGGCCGACGGCTCATCTCCCCCCAGCATCCTCTCAGGTGGATATAAAGGATGCAGTCGATGGCTACGTGGCAACGTTACAGCGGGTCCTACAATGGACAGAATTGTCTTCAGTGCGGCCGAGATGCGGTCCTCCAGTTACGCTGCAGCCACTGCCGAAGCTTCAACCTCAGGGGCAGGAACTTCTCTTCCCAACGGCTCCCCTTCCCGGAGCATCTCCAGCTGCCGCTGTTTTGACTCCTTCTCTTCATTCGAAATGCATTGCCGTGAGCTTGGCTGCTGGTCACTTCTACCATCCAGATTTCTGGCTGCTGTGCCGTGCCTGTCCCTGTTTGGCGTAGCCTTTCAGGCTCCTGACGATTTTGTGTTTAGAGGCGTACACCGGTCCACTATATAGCCTCAGCAACATCTCACTTTATTGTGTTAATAGAGCATCTGGGTAGATCGACTGCCTATACTATGTTCTAGTCACTTGCAAGTTACCATATATCACTAGCGCTGTTTCGGTGTTTCGCGTTTCAGTGGCATCGCGGGACAGGCGTCAAGGTGTTCAAACGCATGTCGACCAACCAGTCCGTTGTGCTTAGCGTCATGCCATTTCCGAAAGAAGAGTTGAATCAGCAGTCTGCATGCAACATTGTTGGATTGCTGAAACCTAAGGATACGCTGAATAAATTGCTNAGTTGAATCAGCAGTCTGCATGCAACATTGTTGGATTGCTGAAACCTAAGGATACGCTGAATAAATTGCTCAGCAGCAGATTTATTCTCTACGACTACCCTTTTGTAAAGCTGGCATCTCCGGTGAGTTTGCGTCTCTTGATTTCGGCTTGGTTGAGGGTGCTCTGTTAGGTACCTTTGAGAAATATCAGAACATTTGCTGTCAAATGGGCCTCACAGGGACAACTGAATCGCTGCGAAAGAGGTTCAGTGAAGCTTGGGCAGTGCAGCGTTGTTTAGGAATCTTAGTAGTTCCTCCATCTGTCCGTTGTCGTGACGTTTGATGGGAATTGGCATATTGCCTCACTCGCACATATATTTTCAACTGGCTTCTGGGTTCGGTTCTGGGATTTGCTGCGGCTGCAGGTTGCTGTGTGGCATCCTACGTTTTACTTGCCTGTAGATTTCGGCAGCGCAGTACAGAGCGCTGATGTCCCCACTGACCCTATGGAACAGCTGCAGGAAGTGGAAAAGGAAAAGCAACGCCTTCTTTCGCAGGGTGTTGCTGTGGCGGACGAGTCTGAGGCCTTCTATTTCTTCACGCAGCATAGAGCAAAGGCGAGAGCTCAGCAGAGTGTTGAGCGACCCCAAAATACCGCGCCTTACTGGGATCCAGGCGAGCAGGTCTTAGGCGGCCCCGGCGAGGAAGTACAGCTAGACTGCGCTCCAGTGCAGCCCCTCGAGCTGCAACTGCAGCGCCTCGCGTTAGACGTGACTTGCGCGATTCCAGGCACAGAACAGCAACAGCTATCCCGTGGGTATCACCCCGAGACTGCTCTCTCCACCCTTCTTGTTGAGTTGCTTCCTGTTGAGGATATCGTCATGGAAGAGAAACTAGTCGATTTACGCACGGCGAACAGCAGCAGCGGCAGCGCTGCTCGTCCAAATATGCATGAGAGGAAGTCCACTGCTTGCGTTCATTTTCGATACGGACCGGAAACGGTTTTCCGCCTCCTCCCGCTCCTGTCGACTCCGTCAAATACCCTCCTTGAAAGCATGCAGCAGTGTCACCAGGAAGTGATGGATGCGGTTGAAGCTCACAGGAAAATCCAGTGGAAGGCGGGAGATGACGTTTTCTGTGTCGCACCGAACGAGCATCAGCAGTTGCGTCTCGGCACCACCGGAGTGCTGGAAAGCTCTCCCGTCAATGATAGTTCGCATCTCTATGTCCGTGTTTCATCGTGGCATGAAGAGCCCATTGGCTTTCAGACGGAGCTAGATGACGCATGCAAAGCGATCTGCGCAACCAGCTCAGTGAGTTAACATTCCTTTCACAGTCGTCGAANCTAGATGACGCATGCAAAGCGATCTGCGCAACCAGCTCAGTGAGTTAACATTCCTTTCACAGTCGTCGAAAGATGCGTTAGTAATGCAGATGTGGACGTGCTGGCATTGTATATTGCAGCAAGGCAAAACTGTTCTGGTTCTTCAGGAAAGAGCTTACACCCTTGAAGAGGCAGCAGGGCTTATAGGGGTTACCCCTTTCGCCGCATTCCAAATCTTCTCGTCTGTCTTCCTCAAGGACGGGGATAATTTGTATGTAAGTCGTCAAGCGAGAAGTTTACTGCACTTCCTGTGTATCTGTGTATGCACAGTATCACGAATTTTTCATCTTCAGCCATGTACCGGGATGTGTTCGCAGTTTCGCTGCAGGGCGGATGATCCACCCCAGACACGGGGGCCGTGTAATCAGGCAGAATATTCCTAATTATCAATGTCATGTAGTAGTTTCTAGCGATTCAGCTGTATAAATCATGTCCTCTCTGCATCGTGGATCTGCACGTTCTTTTTTGTTATGTGCAGGACTGCGGTCTTCACATAGCCATCTTCACGAAGGAGCCGCACAAGCCTGCTTACGTCATCAGGTTTTCA